ACAGGTGTCATCACAACTTACGACAATAACCACGGAGTTTTACACAACTTGTGACAATGGTTTATTGCAATTTACGATAGTTGCGTTATTGCAAAACGCTAAAACTGTTCTTAAAATATTCACGACTGAAAACATAATTCACGACAACTATCATCGCAATTAATTTTATTACAGATAATTTTCATCTCACAACGTTACTGCAATTCACGACGGGCACAGTGTGTACCCGTCCACGTACAATCAATATCCGCAGCCCCCTCGGTTTTCAGTGACGGATCTAGGGCAGGGGGACGGGGGGCCCGTCCCCCCCCCCCCCGTATTTTGGGTAAAAAAGATTCGCAGAAGGAAGAAAAGCCGGCAGGACAAGCAAAACAAAAAAAACGCTCCCCCCCTTAGCTCAAGGTCTGGATACCGCCACTGGTTTTGTACACTACAACGTATTGATATAAATCGCCGTTCAGTTCAACAATCTATCCGTCTTATTTCCGGTTCATAGATAATTAAAGCAAAGATCGATGATTCTCCATGGCGCAGGAAGTCTTGTGGTTTATTAGCTAAATTGGTCTAGGTATTGTAGGCTTTTTAGCCACTTTACTGATCCGCTCCCTCTCAGCTCAATTCCCCACCGGCACCCTGTGAAAGTTGCAACTTTCCAAAAGTAGTGATCGGCAAAAGGGCTAAGAAACCTAGAAGTAACTAAGGCTATGTTTACCATTGGTGCCCAGGCACGGTGCCAGAGTACAATTCTCGTTCGGCACTAATTACCGTTTACACACCCTTCTTTCCAGGTACTCACACCAGAATTCGGGCATAGTGTCCGCGCTCGGGTACAAGGCCTCGACCTTGTGCCCGGGCACTAAATTAAATGGTACTTTGGTCTCTGGAGTACCCAGTGTACGCAACGCTATTTTGTGCCGGTGCTCAGGCCGGCACCAGTGCTTGGGCACCAAGCCTTAACAAGGCGTAAAGTGGTTACTGACCCGGTACTGACCCGTTTCTTTCTTTTTCAGTGGCTGTCCCTGCCGGTTTTTGTTGTGATTCGCTTGATCATCACCGCTTACAACTTCGCATGGCTGATTTACAACATCCACAAGTTCGGAGCGAAGCTGTTCATATTCTTAACCAACTGGACGTTCACCATATTAAACATCTACTTTGTCTATGCAACAACGCTGTCTTGCATTTCCCTTTATAAAGACCTGAGGAGTCCCACGCAGACCACTCCAGGGGATCAAGTAGTGGAGATGGAAATGGGGCACATTGACGGCAACGACTACGGCGCAGTGGAACGCGAAGAATCCCGCGAGAAAGACGCGCTTCGGTTTCACCACAAGTTGCTGTGGTTTCTCTACGTCATCTCTGCAACTGCAGGAGTATGGATAACCGCGGGTTACTGGACCGTGTTGGTAGGCGATGACCCTATCGATGCAAATAATATCACAAAGCACGCGCTAAATTCTGTCTTCATGGTGATTGACACGTGCCTGAGCTCCATTCCAATCCGTCTCTACCATTCCATTTATCCGCTTCTGTACCTTGTCATTTACATCGTCTTCTCCGTCATTTATTGGCTCCTTGATGGCACCAATATACAAGGGGAACCTTTCATATATGAAGCTCTAAACTACAGCGACTTCGACCCGACCATTGGTGGCCTGTTAGTTGTTTTCCTCCTCGTGGTTTTGCCTATTTTGCATCTGATCTTATTTGGCATCACCAAGTTACGAGATTATCTTCACAGGAAGTATACGGCATGAAGTGACACTACGTGAAATGACGCAGCCGGTGACATAGCATTACATCACTGGACATGACCAGGAGCCATGACATGACATGACGTGACATGACGTGACATGACGTGACATGACGTGACATAACGTGATATGACGTGAAATGACGTGATGTGAAGTCACATTACATGGTATCACAGCACATCACCTGACCCGATCTGACCTACAATCCACGACAAAAGTCCTTGGCACGTCTGGATCAGATAGCATGAAAATGCGTTGACAAGCTATTTTGGAAACAACAAGTAACGACATTACTGGAATAGGGAACCCCTTCTCCCCCCCCCCCCCCCCCCCCCCCCCACCGACATTGCTGGAAACGGGCAGTAAACGAGCAGTGACGGCTTCATCACGACAAACAACATTGAATTGGAGGGAGGGGGGTGAACTAATAAATTGCTGTGACAGATACTGCAAAAGTGGGCTAGCGTGCCAAGGCTTTTGTCGGGGAGTGTAGCATCAAATGGCTTAACTCTTAAAAGTTGAACGGTAGAATTCTTCAATCAATTGACTAACAAATTAATTAATCAATTAATTATTAACCATTCATGTTATTTCTGACAAATACTATCAAATTAGTAGAGTGATAAAACTGCTATTGAAACTTTGAATTATAAGCAGTTTGATTCTGAACACGTGGTCTGAAAAAATAATTGTCACAATGTTCACCACTTCACGTTGCGAATTTCTCGTCAGCGATGCGCCTGTGACTTTTGACGGTCAGTGAGCGGTTACTCAATGGCCACGTAAACATTTATCGTTTTCTACGATTTGTATGAACTATATTAAGGCTGTCTAGCCATGCTACAGGGTCGGAAAACTCATGGGATGTATTCAGGTTTTAATAAAAGGGTGTTTTTTAATAATTCTGAATGTTTACCTGCTGCAGGTTTGTAATAAAGAGTGTGCACCATTCGCAGTGATGCTGGCGGTAACTTTCATAAGTTCCATAAATTTCAATTACCTTTATTTAAAACGAACAGAATGAAGAGCTGTTTCATATATATCCATTGTAAATAAGATGATAGTCAATTGGAATCCTGTGGGATATAGTTTTATATTTATTCTTGATGAATTATGTGTAGCTTATTATGTACAGCCTGTTCTTAATTAATCTAAATATCTATTTGGAAAGTTTTCACATAATTCAGTCTTGTACTTTAAGGTCACTTGAAGGTTTGAAACTTAATAAACTATCTATCATGATATCAGGAGGTAGTAGTCCGCTCAATTTTCTTCATTTAGTTTAGCACAGTTTATTCATTTGTAGGACGGCACTTCGTTCCTGTATAAAATCCAGTAAGAAGGGCCTTTAACCATCTCAAGCACGTTGAGGCAATTTTTTTCTGTGAAACTAGTATTTTACATTATTATATGGCTGTGTCTCACAAGGACTGGGAACTACCGAATTCACGAATTTGATTGGCTGAAATCGATATTGACCGCGGTCCAGATTTTCCCATCTAGACCGACATCTAGACCGGTTTCATTTTGCGTTGAAAAAGTAGCAAACTAAAATACAAAAATATTCACCATTTTCTTTTATTTTCTTCTCAATTATTTATGGAAGTGCCAAAAAGCCTGATGACAAAAAAAAAGTAGAGAGGACGAGCAAATTTCGGCAGGTTTAAGTTAAGCTCATCGCCCCTCGCAAGGAAAATGTCAGCTAGTACAAACCAGTTACATTAAACGAATTAAAGTTTTCTTCTTTGCCATATAACAAACATCTTATTAACCGAGCTAAGTCGGTCTGTACGGGAGAATCTTGATCTCGGTCAAGATTCTCCCATAGAGATCTCCTGCTCGGTTAATAAGAGCTAAGTAACGACCACTTGAGTAAAAAAAAGAAATAATTTAACGTCCTTAAATTCCTTAAGCTGATTCAAGGCCTGGCTAAACTAGGAAACGTTGTTGTGGAAGCATTGTCTTTTGTTATGTTTCCAGGGTGGCTAAATTAGCGGGAAGCAAACAAAATTTTTTGCTGTCCCGGTGGCTGAACGAGGAAACATTGTTACGGAAAACAAAGAGTCAAGGGTGCGCATTACAATAAACTGACTCCCGAGGAAGTCTGGAATTCAGTTTACTTTGCTTTTGTAATCGTCCCTTGTGATACCATATTTGACATCTTGACATCGATTTGACAGTAAGCCACATCCTTTTCTGTTCGTATTCATGTTACATCCCGCAAACAGGCTCTGTCCTCATTTAAGGTAATAAGTGACTTCATCTCTTCGTCCTGCCAATTCCTTTCCGTCTCCCCCTTGACCCATGAACTTCTCGCGGCTCTTCTACTTCGACTTCGTGGCCTGCCATTTTTGTACGCTCGCCGTTGCTGGGAAGCACTTGTAGTAAACAGGATTGGAATCTAGTTAACATTGCTTTCATGGTGGCTAAACCGGAAAACATATCTTTCGGAAGCAAAATTTGTGTCCGGGAACCAAAAAATGCTTTTAACCCGAGGTAAAAACAGTTTCCTGTTTCCGAGCAGCAAAATTTGTTTCCCCGACGTATGTTTCCCCCGCGACTAAATTAAATTTGGAGACATTTGCCTCCGTGACAATGTTTCCTAGTTTAGCCAGGTCCGAACATTTTAATTGCGTTTCTTGCTGATGATGTGAGCCGGCACAGAAATCAATTTAAAATTAAGTTGAAAAGGTGACAGGGGAAATAAATAAACTATATTACGCATCGGCAGGTGTTTCATTATTTAGCAGAGCTCTGAGTGTATTAGCGAAGAACTTGTTTCTTTAAAGGGAGAAATGATTTTACTTGCGTCTATCCACGGCACGTAATTTTCTGCGAACAGATAACATTAAAGATTTCTAGACGAAGCATAAGACCCAATGATAATTTGGGAACACGAGCGAAGTGCAAAAACGCAAGCCAAAGCAAGTGTCAGTGTAATTCGTGACTTTGCCTTTTTGTACTTCATGATTTTGAATTAACGCACTCTACTGAATAATATCACAGTCTTCTTTGTCTCTTGTAAAAGGTAGCTTTTGACCAATAAAGCGTTCGCAAACGCAATCTATATTTTATTTAGCTGCGAGATGAGGTCACAGGATAAAGAATATATTCTGGAATGATTTTTAATGGCTTTATTTTGAGATTAAAATCAGGAAGTGAAAAATGGTAATACATTGATTTTATAATAAGCTGCATTTAAAATACAAAAAGGGAAGCTTTGTTTCATAGCTTTAATGCATTCAATGGCGAAGGATTACATATTTTGAAAATCAATGAAGCAACCGACTTCATTACGTAGTCAGCAAATTAAAACTTTTCGACGATTCCACTAGTGATTCCGTGCTTTTAAACAATCTGTACAAACAAATCTCTTTGAAAGCGGCCCCAACTCTGCCGAAAGGTACTGCCTTCTTCTGGCTGAGACAACGAAAACTGTACAGTAATATGCACCAATTGCTTTGTGGTAAAGCCGTTTGCTAATCTGCGGTTGCCGATGAGGTGCTAATTGCTGGAAATGTAATGCATACGCGAACAGATATCTATTTAAAACGTTTAAGCTGGTATCTTTTCTGTTGCTCGACGAAATCGAAATGTCTTCCTTTATACTTATTTATCAAGCCATCTATAGGAGCAACCGAAAGCGTTCTGGAGTAAAGCGCACCAATGTCTCTGTTGCTCAAAGCTTTCTGACGAGCTGGTCTAAATGATGTGTCAATTGCTGGCAAAGAGATCCATTTATCATTTCTGTTTGCCTCCTGCCCGTGTCTTGATATCCCTCCACTAATAGTTTTGTTATAAGCTCGTTGGTGGTTTTCTTGCGACCTTACGACAGAATTGCGTTTTAGAAAATCGATATACCTGTTACTGTCTTTATGACTTGTGGTTAATGTACTCTGTGCGGGCTTCATTGAAATTTTTATATTCTTGGCACCGCGCTTTTGGGATTTGCAATGGCAGCAGTACAAAATGTCCACATTGCGTCGCGCATTAATAAAACCGTCCTCCAAAGATTTATCCTGTCTCGCTGTACTTTTCTCTGGCGTCCAAAATGGAGAATAAAACGTCTTCGGAACGACACAACGTTTAAAAGCAGAATTTTTCAACCCAAAAGAAGGGTTATTTTCCGCTTTCTTGAGATCCGTAACCCTGATGCTTTCTCGGTCCTTAATTGCATAGTCCCGCTCCTTGTCGCAGGTAGTATGTTCCTCAAGCGATAATAGCTTGAAATTGTCGAATGTTGTTTTTTCAGGTACACTTCCATAAATATTAATATTTTGCTGGAAATTATTTCCGAGATCTTCGCGCGAAGCAGCCGGCGTTGTAATGTTTGTAATCTGCTCGCTTTGGCTGCCAGTTTCAACAGCATCTTTATCGTGACTTCTTGATAGCGTGTTGTCAGTTTCCGTCGCTTCTTGTCTTGTGGCGTTTTGTGTTAGTTCTTCCGCATTTTTGGACACAGTTCTTGAGAGCACTTTCTCAGCGCTTGGGTCAACTTCATTTGTACAAGTATTTTTGTTTTCAGAAAATGAGGTTTGTTGCGAAGCACTGTTTTCCCTTTGCGACACCTTCACGTGCTCGCTTCTGCTGACAAAAAACGTTTCAGCGCCGTCGGTGGTATTTAACTCTTTTTCCAATTTACTCTCGTGTCTTCGCGGTGAAGTTAAAAGTACCGGACTCTCGCTCATTAAATACTGATCTTTCTTATGAGTCGCTGTCGCCGACACTTCATCAGTTCTCCCAGCTATCGAAAAACCTGCTTCAAAAGTGTCAACAAAATCGAAGCTAATATCTTCATCGAAAAAAGTGTTGACTGTCTGCCCAAGGAAATCTTCGCCTTCCCGATAAAGAAACGGACTTGAGCTCAACGAGCCTAGATCGAAACACGGGCTATCCATTTTCCAAACATCTGAATCGAGCGGAAAGTCCGTGCTTGAAATCCTTTAAAACAAGCACCCTGATTTCCAAAACAAAGAAGTAATTGTTGTCTAGATTTTGAAAAAAATGAAAACCATCAGCTGCTGGTGTCGCCATGGAAACAAAAGGGCAATTTATTCATTGCATGGGTGTCACAAAGGGGACGAATTTTCCTGATTGTCGTGAAGACTTAAAGGTGACAAGAGCTTGTTTGTACATGTGCAAGTCTCTTTTGTTGTCTAACCAGCTTTTTTAAAAGCTTCTTTATTTTTAGCACGACATTATGCGAAATATCAATAGTAGAAATTACTGAAATATTTCAGGTTTTTAAGAAAGCATCTTTTACATAAACTTGAACAAAAAGACAATTCCTACCAAATGCGCGTCAGTGAAGACTTTATAACAATTTATTCTTTTAAAACTTGTCAAAAAGTGCCGCCTGCGTTTACTTTTATTTCCTAACCTCCTTCCAGATATTCATGATATAAATTTATGCCCTGTTTATGATCACTAACACCAGTGGTTGGAATCAAAATGAAATGATAACTAGAAAGAACATGAATGATTTTAGTCATAATCAATAAAAACTAAAGTGCTTTATGTATTGGCTAAACTGATGCCTCGATTTTAACGAGGGTTGAAACATATTGACAGGTCGAGGGACGATATAACACGACAATCAGAAAAGACATCGAGAAATTTAAGGTGACTGTGAATTTCAGCTGCTAAAGAGCTAAATAGACAAGTAATTTTTTCCGGATTAAGCCGACAGTCGGAAAAACGCAAATTTTCGCACTGACTTTAAAAAGAAAAGGTAGAGGGACGATACAGCACGGAAATCTGAAAATAAGACATTGAGCACTTTACGGTGACTACGACTTTTAGCTGCTGAAGAACTAAGTAGACAATTTTCTCGGCTAAATTAAGCCTGCTGAAAACGCAAATTTAGCAAGCATCGATCATTAAAAAGAAACGATTTAAATCTTCTTGGAAGATCACTCTACAGTCTCCTCCGAATTTTAAAGCAACAAAGTAAAGGAATACAGAAAAATCTTCAATTAGAGAATATTCGTTTGACAGTAATTATTTATGAATTCCCAGCTAGGACTAAACTGTTAAAGTAAATGTTTGTGACGCAACCAGTATGATAGTTACTAGTTTGCAGGACTTTCAAGGTGAAAATAAATTAGCAAATAACATAATATCTTTGGAGTGGGATCGGAGTTTCAGGTCTTTTCTTCAGTTTAAACTTAAGTTGTGGGGAAAATAATGCAGGAAAAGTGAAGAAAAGCCATATATGAGATTTTTCTCCACTATACGCTGAGGAGACTATGCACGGTCTATGGAAGAAAATTTATTTCAAATCTATATTTGTTTGTGTTCTCCATTAAGCCTACATCTCTTTCTCTTTCTTCATAAAAATCTTAAAAATCTTCAAAACACTCGTAAATTATCTTAATCGTCTTTGAGCTGCAAGCCCCTTATGGCATTTTAAGATTGAGGATGAAATCTAGATGAAAGAATAGTGCTAAGCTCACGATTTTTTTTTTCCAAATAGCAATGACGACAAAACAAACAAACAAACAAACAAACAAACAATTCAAAACAAAACAACAACAGGAATCAATGCCAAGTTTAAAATTTGCTTTCAGAATCGAAGAAAACGTCTTAAATATTAGTTCCCCAATGAGAGAAGCTTGCGATTTTTTTCGGTCCCAGATCCCGAGGCGGGCTCACGTGCGTTACCACGTGTCACAGTTCAGCTCAAGAATTTATTTTTATGAAATAGTACAACTGAGTATTTTTTTGTCACGCAATCTTTTTCTATTGTGTCAGACGTGTAAGTCAAACATTTTTCAAGGGTTTAAAGCAGACTGTTCCACCTATTCAGTGGTGCCTCGCCTTTTTTTGGAAATATCAAACATTAATTGCAAGCTGAAGCGATCAAGAGTCAAACATGGTGTTCGAAGAAGACAGAAAACCTTTACAACCCGTGGATTGGGTTATAATAGCCTTCTACTTCGTTGCCTGCATTCTTGTTGGCCTCTGGGTATGTACAGTCAACAGCCCCTTGTGTTTGTAAGTGTTACTGTACTGTTAATTGGAAGTTCAACCAGCTACCGTACCCCAGAACAGAGCCTCTTTATTTGTTCTAGAGGTTCTAGACGATATTTTACACCTGAGGTTTAGAGATTGCTAGAGACGTCCGATCCATGACCTGAGCAATGCTGAGATATTTTAACAAGGTCTTAATGAATTCTTAGCCGGTCTCATGCATGTCTGCTGCTTCGTTGCAGAGGCTATCTGATAAAATTGCAACTAAGTAAACGATTTTAGCTGACTGGATATTTATTCTCAGCAACGACGCTGTTCTAATTAATCTAATGAATTTTCGAACTTAACTTTTTCTGCTTTGTAAGTTAATAGCACAAAGATTACAACTTTTCAGATTTATAGAAATTCCTGTCCTTTAAACCAGCTTAGCAATACCTTGCCTGATATTTCGAAATGTTAAGCGAAGGAGCTTTAGAACTTGAACTAAAAAATTAATAACAGTTCTCCTTCGCTGGCTTTCAATACAGGCGTCTTTATCAAAGCCTAGCTGGTTTTTAAAGTACAACTGCATGCAACTGACCTTTCCACAAGTACAAATAGAATGTTTGTTTAAGTTGGCAAACTGTCACTCGACCCTGTTTCAATAATAACTGAGATTAAAGTGAGGGTCTGTACGGCGTGTCAGCTGAGAAGTGCTTAGAGTTCTAACCGACAACTCAGAGGTACTCAGAGAAGCATCGAAATAACGTGAACTGTTAGAATGAAATCATGTTTATAGCAGTAACACGCTTAACTTCATCTAGCTAGTTCACAGGTATGCCATGCACCTAAAGTGAACGAAACAAATATTTCAAATGATTGAACACAATACGGCTTAACATGATCTCAACTGGCTGGAAGCAGACAAGTTGGCTTTTAACAAACGTAACCGAGGAGTTGAACTAAGGTCTCGAGCGGGACTTGAACCCGCGACCTGCGAATTTCATGCCCAGCGCCCGAACCACTCGGCTACGCCAGTCTTCCTTAGCAGATCTGAGTTCTGGTGTGAGATGCTGTAACTTAGAGGCAATGTAAATGGACACTTTTCACTTTATTCAAAGTTTAAACAAAGAAAGCGCAATCTCAGCGTCCGAGAAGTAATTTGTGGGTATTATAGATTTTAGATGGGTAGCTTATGAGCAAAATGTTTCACGAAAAATTGGTTGAATTTTAATTTTAAAGTTCCCGATGATTTCATTGATCCTCGACACGTGAACAGCAAATGCCACGCACGCGTTTCGTTGCTTTTGTGTAAAGACGTGACCCATAGTTGACAAATCGGAACGACAGAAAAATTGAGCATGATCCGTCGTTTTTACGGTTTTGTAGACGAAGATGACCCTTGCCTTCCTACCTGGTGAAGAGCTGCGAAGATAATTTTTGACCTTTTGACGAATGCAGACAATCTAGCGAATATTTCGGCAGAATTCATGAGATTTTATGAAGAATGTCAAAGCACAAGCGACTAGCTTTAATTTTAACTGAGATTTGTTAAATTCTCACAGCTGAAAAATTTGGCAAAACGTTTTAACTGGTAGATGAGAAATGACCAAATTTTGACTGAGTAACGGAGAATCCTGACTCTCTCTAACATCACTCTATAGCCACCTTGGTGGACTGTGAACACGATATGGCTTACTCGCCTAAATCGTGTTTTCTCGATGATCGCATAAATGAAAAAAATCAATCAATAAATATAATAATAATAATAATAATAATAATAATCAGAAAATCAGCAAAAAGGAAAGAACAGTATCTGAAATGGGAGCCCGTAATCACAGCGTAGATGACGCCAGTTTTAGCAAAGATTTTCTGTGTCTACATTCCCGTTTTACAAGGTTATATCAGCGTTTAGTCTGGCCTCCCAAGTGAATGATTGGACCGGGATAATAAATGTTCGATCGTGTAAGTGACTGTTTGTCTGTGAATGAAATCTTTTCCAGACCAAGTTCAGACAGCAGAAAGGAAAGGCCGAGACTGCAGAAACGTTTTTCTTAGCTGGAAGATCTATGATGTGGTGGGCGGTAAGTTTGACCTTTGTAAATGTTTCATCTCCAAGCAGCGCCTTTACATGTTTACGATCAGCTAAGAAATGCAATTGATCGCCGATTAGAGGCTGAGCAATCTCAGTGATCTGATGTCATGATTATGGCCATGCAGCTTACAAAAGGTTCTCAGATCTTATACTGTATAAATCTATTTGAACGAGTCATCAAATTAAGGCGCCAGTATGTTTCGCCTTACCTTTTGAAGGTTGGACCCAGTTTGTTTGTGAGCAACATCGGCAGTGAGCACTTTATTGGGTTGGCTGGGTCAGGAGCTGCTACAGGGATTGGTGTAGGATCCTATGAGTGGCAGGTGAGACAAATCCAATAGGGCCTTACGTGAACAGAAAAGCATTATTGCTAATTCAAGTGTCTCTGTTATCATGGAGTGATATGAAGTCGCAGTACTAGCCCGGTAAATAACTATAGCGGAAAGTTACTTTTCTGGCTGGTGGTACGGGAATAAAGAAGCTCTCCAAAAAGAACCTTTGTCGCAAGTTTTTTTCAATTCCGAGCCTACCAACTTGTGTCAATTGCTACCTCGAGGAAAATGTTATAATCATATCGCCTCACGAATTATAATTTAAAATAGACAACTGGTCACAGCAATAAATAACGTGGGCCAAGAATATACAGTCCATGAGGAGATCAAACAAGTTGCTCTGTATGAGTAGTGACAATTATTCAATTATAGTGGAAAATAAAAAAGACGAGGTAGAAGTATAAAATTAAGAGTCCATTGGAAGTATACATTTAATTTTAAAGCCAAACCACGGAGAAGAGACCACGAATCACGGAGGTACAAAACTAGTGAGTAGTAGAGGTATATAACGTAAGGGACTTCTAGATGAGAAGCAAAATGTAAAGACCACATTTATAAGCAATAAATTATAAAAGAAATGCTTCAAAGAGCCAAAACTTGAATACACGACTAAGTGTCGATAAAAAGAGTCCACTAATATATTACCTTTCAATACTTTGCAGGCACCTTTTATCTTACTCCTTCTTGGATGGGTTTTTGTGCCAATTTACCTCAAATCCAGGGTAAGTTTGCTGTCGAATGTTTCTGTAGGACATTGTACAGTGGCAATGACAGATTATTGTACTGCGCATAAAAAAGATTCTACAGATTTCCTTCACTGAAGAGAGTTTAATAACCATTTTGGAGAGACTGGTCAATGTTGAAAGGTTAAAATAAGAGTAAATCTCCCACCTGGAACGAAAATATGTGGCCACTATAGAGACGTCAGCCGTTGTGGGAAGGTGGCCATTCAATAGAGATTCGACTGTAGTAATCTTATGAGTTCGTCTGCTAACAGTGCCAGTTACATGATTAGATTTTGTATTTTTCAGTATCATTATCATAACTAAATAAATAATTGACTATTTTGATTCCTTTAGGTGTACACGACGCCTGAATACTTGCTGAAAAGATTCCACAGCACAAAGATTCGAACATGTTTGACAGCAGTGGCTCTTATCTCGTATGTCCTCACCAAAATTTCTGTAAGTGATATCCACCTAAATTCGAATGCAGTATCTAAACAACTTGTATGAACCCGAACACAAAATGAAGTTGACGACTCCATTTCGTCTTGAGCTCTTGCGTGTAATACACGCCAGTCACAACAACTTTGTCGGGGGAATCGAATATAAGGCAAAGTAGACATGTAAGCCAAGGCTTTCCTTGGAAACGCAAAGTAACGACAGCAGGAATATATATCACCTGGATAATCGATTATTATCAGTTCTTTCATTTTATGACGTCGAAAGGTAGATAAATGTTCTTCATTTCTCTATTACAGGTCGATATCTATGCCGGCAGTGTGTTTCTGTATGAAGCTGTTGGTTGGAATGTTTATCTCTCTGCTGCTTGTATTTTGGCCATCACAGCTGTCTACACTGTCTTGGGTAATTATAACTCTACAGGGATACAGCTTGTAGTTAACAGAAGCCTCTGTCACGTCGGCACCCTTAATGGGCCCTTTGCAGCCGATGATCACATGGAATGCACTCATGTCGCATGGAGAGCACGCTGCGAAACGGGACATTCAAAGCAAAGCGACCTCGACCATTCAAACTTTACTTTTGTTTCCTTCGAATGTCCCAGTCCGTGGCTTTCTCTCCATTTTGGGGGATTTTGTACCATGTGACCGTTACCTACAAAGGGCCCACTCCGACTTGAATTCCCAATATGAGGAAGAGCTCGGCGACGCGACATGAACATTCCATAATATAGCTCTGCGGAGATCGGCGTAGTCTCTGATTGGTTTTTACTTTCGCGCGAAAATTCAAAACCGACTATCAGTGCAGCCAATCAAAGCACCGCAGATGTCTCTTTAGAGCTTAGTTAGCAGAATGGCATTTTTCGGGTCGAAGATCAGACGTTTTTCCGAGAGTTAGGGATAAATAATCGAGGGCTTAAAAAGACGTGTATGTTTACTCTGGCTAAAAGACACAAAATAAATTAAAAGCAAAAATTCCTACTACAGTTCGAATGCCTCTGTTATGGTTGATGATACTGTGAATAATAGTACTTTAGTTTAGAGACCCAAGTCCACTGAACTTTGTACTTCACCAAGAGGAGATCAAGTTAAGTGTTCAAGGTACTTACCTTAATTTTCTCTTGACTTCACCAAGCATTAGTATAAGACGGTCAGGTAAGCCTCGTGCTGATCAAAATTCTTTCCTTTTTCCCTTGCAGGTGGTTTAACGGCTGTATTCTTCACCGACGTGCTGCAGTGTACCATAATGATCATTGGTGCCATTGTTGTCGCTATAATGAGTGAGTAGGTAGTTCAATAACGTCGAAATAACAAAAAGGCGCCTTTTCAGTATAGTCTGCGTTCTCTAAGTGGCAGACGTCATGCCTCAGGCATGGGCACTTTGAGAAGTGGACATTCTCTTCCCATATCCATCCATAAAGGAATTCACATTTGGGCATTCCTGAAGAAACTTGATTCCGGTATGTGGGTCAAATTTTCTCATTTGTTTGTACTTTTTATGAGCTTGACAACTCACATCATTTTATAGAAGGCATTCTATCTGTACGTTTAAATCTTTGAGAAGCGACAGAGTCTTTGCTTTTTCCATAGTTAATAGAGGGGACTGGTTATGAAACCCGGCAAACATCAAAGGAGCAAACAAAGATGCCAAGACTTATGTTGGAAGGTCCACGACCGTGCACAAACTGTTGTTTTGCGTTCATATACTATGCATGAATTACGTAACCAACACGTTTCTATTGGTTAGTTCCTCAGGACGGAGTAAACAAATATTGTGTTTTATACTTTTTCCAGAACGGTAGTTAACAAACAATGAAATCTAAAAAAATGGGACGGACAAGAACCCAAAACTTTCAGTTTTTAGTTAGCATTCCAGTTGCGGTCCTTAAATAAACTTTCTTTTCACCAAGGCTTTTCGAAAGTTGGTGGAATGGATGGTCTGTGGGAGAAATATGGTTCTGCTATCGGTCAATCCATTACAACCACTACTGTTGCACCAACAACGGTAGCCAGCAATTTCACGACAGTAGCTGCTGCTTTAAGCACCGTGACATCCACAGCTTCGAATCACAGCAGCAACCAAACTGCTGATAGCTGCTTCAAGTTAACTCCTTATTGGGGTAACCTGGTGCGACCACTGGACGACCCAGACTACCCCTGGTTGGGATTGTGGACGTCTCTGTTCATTACATCTGTGTGGTACTTTTGCACTGACCAGGTAAAATGTGAAAAAAAATCTAATTTTATTTGCTGAGTATACTGAGTACTGAATTGCGATGCTCGCACCCTATGAGTTTGAATCAGTATGGAAATGGAAGTAAATGTTTTGGGCTCGCGGTGCAGCGTACAGAACGGAAACCCTAAAAGTTCATATGCTTCTGTTTATAAAGGGGGTTCGAGTTTATTGTCAGTCAGTGATTGAATAAGGTGTATCGATGTCACAGTAGTAGTATTTTAAACGGAAATCTCAAGGTTGTTTATCGTGTATTTCTGATCTACTTCATTGCCATGAATTGTTAATAGTTGCAACTTTTTTGAATAGTAAACTGGCTTGCCTTAGGCGGAAATATAAATTGTCGCTGTTATCAAAAGGAGCTATATTTCAAGAGAGCTATGTCACTATCAAGACATTTCATCGATGCACAAAATTACCATCAAATTGAGGGCAACTTTCTGCAAGAGGTGAACAAGCGTAGAAAAACTGCACAGATCACTGTAAGACAAAAGTGGACGAGGATGACTCGTTAACATTAGGAAGATTAAGACGAACAGTTGAACGTACTTCGGTTATCCCGAATACCTCTATATCTCGACCCCAAATTGGATTTTCTCTTGGATATGTTTCTTGAGCCACTCTATTATTAATTGTCTCGAACCTCAGCCATCTCGAACTATTTTTCGTTTCTCTTGAAAATTCAACATACGGGGTTTCGACTGAAATTGAAAATTTGGGCTTTTTTAAAGCTTATGTGTCAGTAGCTAACAAGTTTCATATGAAAGGTTATTTTTCTAGCATCATTTGATTTCAATTTTAGGTTCTTGTCCAGCGCGCCCTGGGAGCTAAGAACCACATTCAAGCCAGAGCTGGGACAATATTTGCGGGATTTCTGAAAATCCTTCCCATGTTTGTTATGGTGATGCCAGGCATGATCAGCCGAGTTCTCTTCCCTAACTCTATTGCCTGTCCGGACCCTGAGAGTTGTAAGCTTGCCTGTGATAATAAATGGGGCTGCACCAACAATGCGTATCCTAAGTAAGTCCTCATTTTCGATTTTAGCTAACCTTGCATGGCCTGTCCAAATCTTGA